GAGCGGGGGGGAGTCGGGGGCGGGCGCGGGGCCGGCTTTCTCATGCAAAGCGGCGGCGGGGGCGGGGCGCGCGCCCGGGGGCGGGGCCTGTCGCCGCCCGGCTGCGCTCCCCCCTCGCCTTTTGCGCGTCTTCTCTGCCCGGGACGCGCGGCGCCGAGCAGCTGCGGCCCGGCCCGGCGAGGCCGGCGCGGGAGGGAGGAGCCGCCGCCGCCTCCAGCCGGCCGGCCACCGTGCGCCCGCGCCGCCGGCCTCCCTGACGCTCCACCTGGGCGTTCGCGGAAGAGCCCAAAGTTTGCCGCGGCCGGGAGTCGCCGCCCGCCGGGAGCCCGGGCCCGTCGCGCTTCCCGGTATTGTTGGCCAACTTTGCTCGTCTCCCCCGCGGCCCCCACCTCGGCGGAGGCCGGGGGCACGGAGCGCAGCGCTCGGGCCGGCCGAGCGGGCATGGGCGGGGGCCGGAGCGGGGACGGGGAGCCGGGGCCCGAAGCCCGAACCGGGCAGCGGCGGCGCTGAGGGGGGCGGACCTCCCCCCGGGGCACCTCCGACGCCAGCATGCCGCGTCCGGGCCCCCGCCTGTGGCTGGTCCTGCAGGTGATGGGTTCGTGCGCCGCCATCAGCTCCATGGACATGGAGCGCCCGGGCGACGGCAAGTGCCAACCCATCGAGATCCCGATGTGCAAGGACATTGGCTACAACATGACCCGCATGCCCAACCTGATGGGCCACGAGAACCAGCGCGAGGCCGCCATCCAGCTGCACGAGTTCGCGCCGCTGGTGGAGTACGGCTGCCACGGCCACCTCCGCTTCTTCCTGTGCTCTCTGTACGCGCCCATGTGCACCGAGCAAGTCTCCACCCCCATCCCCGCCTGCCGGGTCATGTGCGAGCAGGCCCGGCTCAAGTGCTCCCCGATCATGGAGCAGTTCAACTTCAAGTGGCCCGACTCGCTGGACTGCAGCAAGCTCCCTAGCAAGAACGATCCCAACTACCTGTGCATGGAGGCGCCCAACAACGGCTCAGACGAGCCCTCCCGGGGCTCCGGCCTGTTCCCGCCCCTCTTCCGGCCGCAGCGGCCGCACAGCGCGCAGGAGCACTCGCTCAGGGACGCGGGCCCGGGGCGCGCCAGCTGCGACAACCCGGGCAAGTTCCACCACGTGGAGAAGAGCGCGGCGTGCGCGCCGCTCTGCACACCCGGCGTGGACGTGTACTGGAGCCGCGGCGACAAGCGCTTCGCGGTGGTGTGGCTGGCCGTCTGGGCTGTGCTGTGCTTCTTCTCCAGCGCCTTCACCGTGCTCACCTTCCTCATCGACCCGGCGCGCTTCAGGTACCCCGAGCGCCCCATTATCTTCCTGTCCATGTGCTACTGCGTCTACTCCGTGGGCTACATCATCCGCCTCTTTGCCGGCGCGGAGAGCATCGCCTGCGACCGGGACAGCGGGCAGCTCTATGTCATCCAGGAGGGGCTGGAGAGCACAGGCTGCACCCTGGTCTTCCTGGTCCTCTACTACTTCGGGATGGCCAGCTCACTGTGGTGGGTGATTCTCACGCTCACCTGGTTCCTGGCCGCGGGCAAGAAGTGGGGCCATGAGGCCATCGAGGCCAACAGCAGCTACTTCCACCTGGCAGCCTGGGCCATCCCAGCGGTGAAGACCATCCTGATCCTGGTGATGCGCAGGGTGGCGGGCGATGAGCTCACCGGCGTGTGCTACGTGGGCAGCATGGACGTGAACGCTCTCACCGGCTTCGTGCTCGTCCCGCTGGCCTGCTACCTGGTCATCGGCACGTCCTTCATCCTGTCCGGCTTCGTGGCGCTCTTCCACATCCGCAGGGTGATGAAGACGGGCGGGGAGAACACCGACAAGCTGGAGAAGCTCATGGTAAGGATCGGCGTCTTCTCTGTGCTCTACACCGTGCCGGCCACCTGTGTGATCGCCTGCTACTTTTACGAGCGCCTCAACATGGAGTACTGGAAAATCCTGGCCACCCAGCACAAGTGCAGAATGAACAACCAGACCAAGACTCTGGACTGTCTGATGGCCGCTTCCATCCCGGCCGTGGAGATCTTCATGGTGAAGATCTTCATGCTGCTGGTGGTGGGTATCACCAGCGGGATGTGGATCTGGACGTCCAAAACCCTGCAGTCGTGGCAGAACGTCTGCAGCCGCAGGTTCAAGAAGAAGAGCAAGAGGAAACCCGCCAGTGTGCTCACCAGCGGTGGGATTTACAAAAAAGCCCAGCATCCCCAGAAAACCCATCTCGGAAAATATGAAATCCCTGCCCAGCCTCCCACCTGTGTGTGAGCTGGCTTGTAGGGGGTGGGGGCGGGGGGGGGGGGGAGGAGAGGGAGCTGGGGAGGGAAGGGGCCAGAGTGGAAAACTTTCCCGGACAGGATACCCTGGCAGTCAGAGCCATGCCAAAACGTGGTGCTTTTCCTGGTTGGTGTTTTTTGTTTTGGGGTTTTGTTTTTGTTTTTGTTTTTTGTTTTGTTTTGTTTGTTTTTTTAATAAAAGTAAAAGAAAAAAGTTTTTACCCTGAAATTCAGGATGCTGTGATACACTGAAAGTTAGAGATGTGCTTCCAGGTTTTTTGTTTGGTTTGGTTTCCAGAAGGAGAGGTCCCCAGTTAAGCAGCCTCTCTGGTAACTGGTTTGCAATCAAGTCAAGCCCCAGAAGAAACTTTTGTTTCGAAGCTTCCTTAGAAACAGAGCTGTGTATATGCTCTGAGCTGGCTTTGCTACCCATTTACAAGTCAGAGGAGAGGTAACTTCTTTGGACGGTAAAGGACTTCTGCTGGGAGCACTGAGGGACAGAGGAGGGGGAGAGAGCAAGAGAGGCAAAGTGGGTCTCCGGAGAGGGGCCATCCCCCCGGGGGCCCACCCCCAGGAAGGCTGTGTGTGGGACAGCAGCGTCTGTGCAGACAGGAAGAAAGGGGAGCCCCGACGATTTAACACACTCCAGTGCATTTGGAGTCACTTAAAATAGACTCCAGCCTTCACAAACGGGTCTTTCTCCAAGACAGAAACTTCCAAACCTAACATTTGCAACTGCAAACAATGTGCAATACATTTCTTCCCTCTCTCCGTGAAAATGAAAAGAGAAACAAGTATTTTGCTGTACATAAAGACAACAAAAGAAATCCCAACAAAAGCACAGAGAGGCCCAGCCCTCAGAAACCCTCTAGTGTTACCTTTTGTGGCTTTTTAATGGAAACGAAGCCAATGTTATACACGTTTGGACTGATTTGTGGAAGGGGGGGAGGGGAGAAAGATCATTGAAAAGTATCCAAAGGGGTTATTGACTCTTTCTATTGTTAGACAAATGGTTTCCATGAATAGTTCATGAAGCACTACACAAATCTAGTTGATTCTCCCCACACCCCAGGGAAGAGCCGTCCTGCTTGTGTATATTTGTAATATATGATATTTTTCATGCTCCACTATTTTATTAAAAATAAAATATGTTCTTTAGTTTGGTGCTGGTCCCTTGCGCGTCATGAGGTTCCCTTGCCTGAGTGTGGAGAGAGCAGAGCAAACTTTCTGCCTCTGCTCGCTGTTCAAGCAGATCCTGACTGTGCGTCTCTAGCTAGAGAGATGACTGGTTGTCGTGTGAAACAGCAGATGGGTGGCTGGCGAGGCTGGCAGAGAAATTTAAAGTTTGAGTGGAATGACATGGAGGCAATGTGGAAGAGCTGGACATCGCTGCTGTGACTCTCGGTGGCCGGCTGTGAGGGCTTGGTCGTAGACACACTTTCTCTGGGAGCACCTGGGCACCAAGTGTGGCTGAATCCTGGCAAGCCTGGCCCAGCCTCGGGTGAGAGCTCCAGGGAGCGGGGCCAGCCAAGTCAGAGAATTAAATCAAAATCGGGTTCCATGGGTCTGATGGGATCAAACGGTACCGAGACAGAGTCCTCTCCGTCAGTCCGAAGCGGCAAGTCTAGGACTTGTTCACAAAACAGGTTATAGCCCCAGACAGGATAAAAGATCTGCTCAGGGTGGCGGGGCGTTAAGGAGAAGTCAGTCAGCCCTGTACGTCTGTGAACTTGCTGCTTCTCCTGTGTTTGCTGCTGGAGCGGCAGACACCCAAAGTGGGCCCAGGTTCACTGGTCAGAGGCACAGCGAAACTCCAGTTCTAACACGAAGGATCCAAGGGCAGGGTCCAGGCGTCTTGTCGTGGGAAATCAGCAGAGTCAACCAAGCTCTCCTTGGGGTCGTGCGGATGTCAAGCTCCCGGGTGAACAAAGAGCCCTTAAGAATCTCGAATGTGTATTAAGCACTTCCCAAGATGGACCAACGCCTGGAGTCAGGGCAGCCTGTTTTCCGAAGAAGGGGTTTAGGAACTAAGCCCCCTGATGACCGTAAGACCACCCTCTCGTGGATGCATCCACAGCAGATCTGGGCAAGTGTATGGGTCAGTTTATGGGGGGGGCCGCCTCACCTGGACGTGTGTGGCCGTGGCCCGCTAGAGCAGGGCCCCTGGGTGTTTTGGAATCAGGTTCAAGAAACACCAACTAGGTAGGCCAAGTGGTGTAAGATAAAATCCAGAATAGCCTAAAGTACATTAAAAAAAAAAAACAAATGCCCACAAACAAAACCTATTTGTTGATCGATCCCGCCCAGTCCCCCAAAGACCATGCAGGGATACTGATGTAGGGGTGTGTTTATGTACGCTATGCTCCCTTGGGGTGACTCAGGCAAAATAAAAGTGACATGTTTGGAACAGAGCTCTGAAAAGTCTGGGAAGATAACAGTATCCCTAGCTGGGAGCATCCAGGCTGAACGTGGTCCCCAGATCCTCAGTCGTAAACTTACTAGACTGTCGTCAGCCACCTTACATGGGCACGTGTGTGGGCTGCAGACCTCAGTTCTAGGGAGAACAGCGGGCCGGCCTACAGAAGCCTCTCTCCTGTCTGTTGTCTAGAATGCGTTTCAGTGTGGACCCCCCCCAAACTACAGGTACCCCGTTCACAAATGTTAAAGAATTTTACATATGGCCGGGCGGGTGCCCTGGGACACCGACTCAGCCAGTGATGTGTACCCGTAGCCCCAGAAGGGACTTCTGAGCAAACGCTCCGTGGGGCCTTCTCTCCAGGAGCCTCAACCTGACCTGGGGTCACATGTAGATAATTCGTGAGTTTTAGGAGAAGCATCAAGGCTCGTAAGGGGGAAATCTGCAAACAGCGCCGTTGGACCTTGGGTCCTCTGTCACAGGACTCAGGACTCGGGACTTGTAAAGGAATTGTCACTGGCCTTCATGTGGAGATTTCCTTACCTCCCAGCCTCAGCTCCGGGGAAACAGAAGCCTGCCTGGTGACAGATCCAGCAGAGCAGGGAGGTCAGGGAAGGTGACTGCCCAGAATTGCCCTGTGGGCCGTCCCTGGGGTGTTCTTCCTTTGGGACCCACCACCCAGCCACTCGTCTGTGCCAGGGCCTGGGAAACGGGGCTTCAAGGTCACCGCCTGGTGCAGGAGACCCGCACCACAGGAAAAGGGCTCGTGGGGAGGAGGTTTGAACCCCTCCCAGAGGAGGTTCAAAATAGACAGAAGGCAGAAGATCCCACACGAAAAATTTCATGGCAGGGTGATAGTTCAAGGGCATGCTAACGGCTAGAGCGGCTAGAGCACAAGTTAAGAACAGGGAATCAAAGCTCCCAAAAGGGCCTGGCCTGTGACAGGTCCTAGCCCAGGCCTCTGGGTGGAACGGCAGTGACAACTGTAGCAACGACAATCAGTCCAGCAGGCCCCTGGGGCACCACCTGCCTGCTGAGGGCTTTACAGGTGTATCAGCTGAGGCCCAGAGAGGGCCAGTAAATTCCCAGGGTCACACAGCAAGTACAGGTTAGAGTCAGGACAGGAACCAGGCAGAGTGAGCTTAAGAGTGGGTACCCAGAACCAGGGGCCGGGCTGGGTTCATGCCAAGACAGGCCAGAGGGGACACCTGGTCAGGGAGGGCCGTGATTCTGACTTGGGGGTCAGGTGGCATTTACCAAGACAGGAGGAAGGAAACAGAAGCGGGCAGGGTGCCATGTGTTGGTGGAGAATGGAAGATGGATGCAGGGTAGACGGTTTGGGTCAGAGGGGCCTCTGATACCTCCGGGTGGAGGTCAGTCTGCAGGCTGGGAAGGGGGGCTGGAGGAACAGGTGGATGTCTGCAGATGGTCAGATTAGAGGAGAGGTTAGCTGGGGGCAGAAGAAGGAGGAGGGGGAGGAGGGTAGAGGGAGGAGGGAGTGGGAAGTAGAAAGTGGAGGGGAAAGAAGGCAAAGGGGGGAAGAGGGAGGAAGAGAGAGGAGGGAAGAGGAGGAGGACAGAGGGGGTAGGAAGGAGGAAGGCAGAAGAGGGAGAGAAGAGGGAGGAGGGCAGAGGAGGGAGGAAGGAGGAGAGGGAAGGGGGAGGGAAGGAGGGAGTGGGAGGAGGGAAGGCAAGAGAGAGGGAAGGGGATGAAAAAGGACAGGGAGGAAGAAGGAGGAGGAGGAGAGAGGAGGAGGGAAGGGAGGAAGGAGGAGGGAGAAAGGATGGGGAGGAAGACAGGAGGGAGGAAGAAAGGGAGGGAGAGGAGAGGGAAGAGGGTGGAGGGAGGGAAGGAAGGAGGGGGAGGGCAGAGCAGGGAGGAAGAGAGGGAGGGAGGGGGAGAGGGAGGGGGAGCACAGGTGGAGGAGGAAGAGGAGGCCGCTTCCTCATGAGGAAGAGCAGTCCCTAACCCCCAAGGCGGGGTTTCTCACCGTCACAGGGAGGACTGCTGGAGAGTAGGTAATGGCCACCTCTGGAGTAGGAATATGTGAGCCAGATAGAGGCAAACGGAGCTCGGAGGCTGGAAACCCAAGCATCCCTCCCGATTACCCTGCCACGCCTGGGCCATTCACCTCTCTCTTTCCTTTAACTCTTGGGCCACCCAAGCAAAACTAAAATGATCTCCAGGGGCTGATAGTCTTTAGTCCTCTACTAGAGCCTGTGGGGGGCACTGCTTCCAGACCGAAAACAGACAAGTCAGGAATTATTCACCCAGCCATAGATACCCTCCTAGTTCCCGTATTATTTCCTTGAAAGGAAGAGAGGAGGACAGAGAGGAATAGCAGAAGGGGGCGCCCGTGGGTTCCTCACCCTTCCAGGGCTGGGTATCTAATATGGTTTGGGACTGATCCCTGTCTTGCCCCTACTGGACTTTCCTGCCTCTATTACTCCATCTATGAAATGGGGATGTTGTTGGTGCCTCCCTCGATACGTGCTCCATGTCCTGAGCAATCCAATTTATCAGTCTGCGTTCCACACAACCGTCCCAGGATGGAATAAGCTTCCCTATGCACAGCA